ACCTAATTCCCAATTTAATTTTTTTTCCCCATTTTTTTTTCAAATGCACTGGAGTCTTGTAAAGTAAATATGATTTAAATAGGAAGTGACGGGTTGATAATTTTATTTTTCTTACCTTCATTTATGTCTATATAAAATATATCTTAAGGTTAAGTATTGTGAGCAAAAAATATGTCGAAGTTTATTGTTGAATTTTATGTTGTGTAATATAAATAGTTTGTAAGGGGTAAAATGGCCCATAAAAGATTTACGAGTCCTCCGTTGTTAGAAATAAATAAATGAGGAAGGAGATGATCCGGGGTGGTAGTATGTCATCAAGTATTCAATAATAAATAAATATGCCTCAAGTAAAAATATCCAAAACTTTCAAAGTGATGTGAGACAGTATCTGTATATGTGAAATACTCAGCTCAAAAAAACAAAAATAATTAATAGTAAATATTGCAAGAAAAACACAGTCGCTATTTATTTAATTTAAGAAAATATATGGTATTTTAAGAAATTCCATAGTTTCGCCAAAGAAAATGGGGAAGAAAAAATGTATCTTCAGGTTATTGAAAAAAATCATTTAGTCGCATTTAATAAAATTAAACCAGGAATTACTTTCCTTATAAAATCAATATTCCTTTTATAAAATCTGAACATTGGGCACTAACTAAAATTTTTTTTATGTACACATAATGTATGGCTCATTTTTATGAACTCACTTTTTATTTGTATCAACAAATTAGATAAAAATGAATAAAAAAACGTGCGTTTTAAAAGTTTAGCTACATCAAAAATGTACCAATTGACGGTTTATTTATATTTTTGCTTGTCTTGTAAGTCTTGTTATCGAGATAATAATAATACTAAATTATACTAACAGCCATCATCGTATCCACGTTGACCGGGTACATCCTGATGGCAGTGAGGGTAACTCCTTTTTTAGCCCTCATCATCATCATCAGCGCAGCCCTCCTGAACTTTGCATCGGCCTTGTACCAGTCGCTACTGTAGATGGCGAACTGCAAGTCTGAACTCTAATTTGAGAAATAAAAAAAAAAATAGTCATCAAATATAAGAAACGAAAATAAAGTTAGCTTTATTTTAAGTTAAATAAAAAGAGAATCAGCATTATTGCTAAAGACCATCAAGGATTAAGTAGAACAGTATATTTTAGTTTTGAGTTAAAACTAACCGACGCGATTGAGAGGGTTTGCTTAGGGAGTCGTGGCTTCCTCCCTACAGGTAGATGAACAAGTCTAGTTTGGAGTGCCCTAAGCTAATACTAAATAGTTTATACAGGTACTTATGAGTTATGAGCCAAATAAAAATAAAAAAAGAAAACTGTTCAACTTTACTCCATATGGAAGAACAAGACATTGTCGACAAAAAAATACAAAATAAGACTGTTTTGTTAAACTTCGTGAAATCGGTTCTGCTCTACAGTAGTGAAACATGGAAGATGATTTGAATCATTACCCGACTACGTCAGACTTTCATCAGCTGCTTGTTTGCGAAGAATCCTGGAGATCTGTTGGCATGAGAGGATATCTAACGGAGAGCTATGGAGTACAGCTTCCTATCCACCCCGGAATAAGGAGAAGTAAATGGAATTGGATTGGACATACTTTGAGGAAAACAGATAGTGTCATCGAAAAAGAGGTTTTGCAATGTAATTTTCAAGAACCAAGAAGAAGAGAACGATCTAAAGAGAAATGGTGCACATGACCTGAGCCAGATTAGAAATACTTTGCCAGAAGTAAAAATAAAACGCTCGTTCGAGACAATATCGGTAAAACCGCACTTATCGTTATAGTATAATTAAATACAATATATATTGAATATTTAATAGTTGACCGTTACATTATAAAGAAAGGAGATAACCCAGGGTGGCGGACATAAATAGGCTGAATAGTGGCAAAACTGACAAAAAAATAAAATATATTTGTCACTATTTAGCCTATTTATGACCGCTACCCCGGTCCATCTCCTTCCTAAATATGATTTACTTATAAGTAGTAAATAATTTCATAATTTCTTTAATTTAACTAATAATTATTTATCCTTTCTTTTATTTTTCCTGATTCATATAATAATTAGCTTTCATTGATGTCAAACATAAAACTGAACATACAGTAAAACCATGACAATAATAAGTGCAAAAAAACCAAACTCACAATGGAAATATAAAATGTTTATGTCACACGACTAGGCCAGGACTTATATAGATACAGATAAATATAAAATTTTCAAATATACTAAAGTGACAATATTGGGCTAAGAATAAAGAAACGAACCATCTTTTTAGTATAAATGATAAATTAAATATATTTACTTACCGCTGTTTCAATATATGACGACCCAAAACAAAACATGGAAACTTCAATGCCTTGGTAAGCCAAAAATTGTAGAGACCTGAATATGAACATAGGATTTCCAGTACTCCCCTGATAAATAATAAGGGAATAATATTTTATTAGCATTTTTGTGAATTAGTATATTTAGTTACTATAATTCATATAATATTTATAGAAAACTTACAAACAAGAACTGGAATACTGCAATGATCAAAACGAGAATTCCAACTCCTAGAATCATCGTTACCAACGGGTTGTAAACACTCCTTAATTCTTTAGCGTACCTGCATATATTTAAAAAACTTAAAGTATTACTTTTTTATTCATTTATGATTATAAATTTTTAAAGTGCTACCAATAAGTAGATTCTCAAAATGTCTTTTCATGCCATAACATTTCTCTCTAACATTAACTATATGCGTTAAAATAAACATACATCAAGCTAACGAGAAGAGAGAAATATAATGACATAGAAAGTCATGTAGAGAAATATATAAATTATGTTATAGTTTATAGCTTATAATATAATTAAAATATAACTCTAGTAATGATATTAAAAATATTTGGGGTGGGTTATACCTAGCTCATATTTTGTTTATTTTAGTAACTAAGATTTTAAGCTGTAAACTATTCCATATTCTTATGCATAGAAACGGAGGTGCCCAGTCGATTTTGTCTCAATCTTATAATTATATTATTATATATGTACTTAAATTAATTCTGTAACCATTTTTTGTTATTCCATATTTTTATTAAATGTTTCTGTATTAGGCTGTATTATTTCCTATTGTATTATATCCTGATTCGGAAGGAAACAACTATTATCCAAAAAATGAATTTTAACGGGGATTAGTAGCTTATGATTTAGAAGTAAGTGTAAAATCTTCTTAATTTTTGGTTGTAAATGTTACTCTTGCATCTTTAAATATTTTTCATTTCTTTCAAAATTGTATCATATCACTATGTTCGGGGATTTGGCCTGTCTGTAGGATCTACAGTACTAAAGTTATTATTGCTATTGTCATATATGCAGATATATAATTTACAATAAATTATATTTATTATTATTAAATTATTGAATTTTGGGATTTCAAATAAATATTATTTTAGAAAAAAAGTATGATAATTTATTGTAAGTACATAACTATACTTGTTTGAATAATAATAACTAAATTTTGTTGAATTCCTGATGATGTACAGAAGCCAAGAACGTTGAATGATACCATGAAAAAAAAATAATAAGCCAAAATCAATTTAAGATAAAATTAGATAGGTATTTTTGTAGTTAGAATGTTCCCCCGAAAAGTATTAGAATGAATGGATTATATAATATTGGAACAATAAAGATTTTAGAAAAAATGTATACTTGACATATAAAGTCGTAGAAGGTAATGAAGAGGGACAAATATGAAGGAACTTTAATCTAATGTTTCCGTCAACAATTTCTAGTTTTATTGTATAACATGAAAAATAAACATTTTCATACAAAATAAATGAAATTTTCATAGATAATATATCGCTTACTAATTTTTTTTCCTGCTTTTTAAACAGAAAATATATCGTGCACAAAATTGTCTTGATTATTATTGATTGTCAGAAGTTTTTAAATAGAAAATCATCATTATTCTGAGACTAGGTCCCTTAACAATATGGCCAAAAAAGACCTATTGCAATAAAGAATAACTGAAATACGAGTAATAAAAAAAGTATATAGATAACTCTTAGGGTATATTAATGAAAACCGTTGGTTAATAGGGTTGCAATACTACAGTATTGACAACCAATATTATCCCTACGAAATGTATATATATTTCTTTATTTCAAATAGAATTAAAAATATATTTCTAATTTAAAAGTTGATGAATATATTTGAAATTGAACACAAACATGTAGGTGTAAAAAATTAGTGTATACAATGATGTCCCGTGGATGTAGTGGACAAAATATTGTCACTGATTATACAAACCATGAATAACTGGTATTAAGAAAATAACTATAAACCCAGGAAAGTTTAAAACCGATACAGTTTCTTACTGTATTACTGAATAATAGTTTCCATTGTATATTTAGAAAATCTCTTAAACTTCTAATATTCATTCTATGGTTAAATTAGATGACATAGTTCCACCATATTAGTTTATTGGCAATATAAAGCCGCAGACCGCTTATCCCATTAGAAAGTTATAAATAATTGTTAGTTTAAGACAATTAATTAACAAGACCAAATTCAATTTTAGAGAGATACTGCACAAATAAATGATAAAAATTTCTTCTAATTCTCCCTTACAAGCTGCTATTTTTTTTCCAATCAAACATTTTATGTATGAATGATGAAAGTAATGAAATCAGAAAATAGAAAATTTTTTCATTACTTCAAACTAAAACTCATCCCTACGTCTGATTGAACTGTGAAGAGTAGTTGCAATAAAAAAAATTTGTATTTACAGTTAAAGTGATATTCTTAATGTTTATTAGCTGTTTAAAATAAATATATATTTAATAATTGTATGTTGATAATTGTATGTTTATCATACCACATTATTTCGATGAAAATTAAATAATTAATGTTTCTAGACACAACTCTCCATAGAAATTTGTAACTGTTTTGGTAGCTATTTACCTATGGTTACCTATTAATACCTATGGTATTGCAGAAAATTACCTTAAAATTTTTTGATGCTCCTGAAGCACTTCATAAAGTTCATTATAAAGTTTAGAGCTGGCGTACCCCGTTGCTTTACTACCATTTATAGAACTATATTTCAGTGTTGATACGTGATATGCTAAAACAGAAAACTGTGCGTAAAGACACATCAGGACTTGGTAAAAAAGGCAAACGTAAACGGCTAGAAGCATTCCTCCCCAGATATTAAGGATTGATTCATACACAAATACAGCTTCGTAATAAGGATATCTGTCTAAAGGAAGAGGATACCATCCGCCTAAGATTTTCTTCCTGCCAGTCGTTACAGCGTGCATGTTCCCAGTGTAGTACATAATATAATCGACTGATATAATAGGATCGATTATAGACAAGATAACGACACTTGAATTGATAAGGAAAGCAGCCCTGCAAAGCCTGTTACATTCCGAAGTTATCTTCGAAAAAATCTTTGAGGCTGCTTCTTCTTTATGTTTTGGAATTGTGATAAAATCCTTCTTCACCAAATCATACAACCTGCACTGGCTTCCTATTCGAAACCAAAGCACAAGAACTTTACAACATATCTGCAATGCTGGAAGAGACTGCAAATTTAAAAATGTAGCCTTCTGTATGTCAACTTCTGTCATCCAATAGCTCAGATACTGAAAAATAATATAAGGTGCTGTAAGAACCAGTGTTGCGACAACCTTAAATTTTAAAATTGCGTTTCTTTTCCCTGTAGTTCTATAATCGTTGATGACTCTCCACAGGCCGAAAAACTTTAGATACCTCACACTTAGACCATCGACGATATCTGAGTCTAAGATGGCAGCTTGGTCGACCATGGTAGGTTGCTAGAGCTGAACTGATGACCAACGCAGGATATCGGATATAAATCGACAAACACCATATTGGATTATTCATGTTCCAATTACCATAGATAGATGAGAATTGTAATAATTTATATGGATATGGTTGCTTAAATGAATTGAAAATTAATTAATTGCTGCTTCACATCTAGTATTTTCATAATAAACGATCAACTTAAACTGGAACTTTATAAAAATGGATGATGAAACCTATTTACAAAACAGGAGACGTATGAAAAATTAATGTCATTCATATAAGAATAATGATCGAAACTTCAAATAGATAAAAGAAATAATAGATATTTTTGGAAAGATAGAATCACACAAAAAGTAATGGTTTAAAATAATATATTAAAAAATATAAAATTTACATTTCATCCTTAAATTTACATTGATTTGCTGAAAATCGAGTGACGAAACACGTCTACTTAATTGTGAGTAAAGAAAATTTGAGTTCAGGATTCTTTGAGCTTGGAAAATATAACCTTCATCGTAACCTAGACTGACGCACAGAGAGCTGTTTTAGGAATCTAGTGGTATGAATTTCTACACAGGTTTTGAGGGTATAGAACAAAAATATAATTTTACCATGAAATGAAGTCCCTAACGAACTAAAAAGTTACTATGAAAAATAAACAATTTATTTAATAAAATAAATAATGTCAACAAATTGTTAAATATATATTTAAAACTTTAGTTTTTTTTCAATACCTTTAATTTTTTATTTCATCGTTTATTAATTTTGTAGTTATATTTATTGTATTATTGTTTCATTATACTTAAGCAGACCCTTCACGGTCATTCAGAATTGCATTCTGAGGCACTAATGGCATTCCGAATAATCGTGTAAGATAGTGAATGAAGTACTGATGGAGGTGTCTGGCGGATTCCCTAAAATTCGGAAATCAAAGGAAATCATTCACGAGAAGTGGACAGAAATAAAAGCAGTGGGGAGACTAACCATACTACTAGATAGGTTAGTTTATTTTGGCCTCACAACCATTATAAATTCCTGATTTTCATTAAAAGTGAATAGTTAAATAGTTTTTCCTTAGTTGTACCTTTCTGATTTTTAAATAAATAATATCATAAAAGGAAATAGTTTTTTATATCCCTAGTTTATATTTAAATAAACCATTTTCAACTTTTTTTTCTTTAAATAGTTAATTGTCAATAAATTAAAAAGAAAAAAGTTCTATAAGTAATTTACTTATAGAAAAAAAATCTTTAACTGTTGTGTTTATATGCAGATAATTTTTCCATTTTTCTCCATAAAAATTGATTATTTTTGCAATACTTTTCCTAAATTTTTGTAAGCAGTTGACTTATATTTTTCTAACTTTGGTCTAAACGATTTTCAGCCAATAGAAAGTAATTATTACATCTACATTTTTCTCTTGATGTCCAATACTTTAAAGGGCAATTTCCAAACAAGCTTTTTAAATTAAACATAGTATTATAAATGAACTATCCACCAGATCCATGCTGCCTGTTATCTCAATGTCAACTGAGCTAAAACGGCCAGTAATGATTGAATGTGTAGGTGTTTTCATGATCAAAGCGATCCCAAGCAGTCTCTTTACGATTCTGAAATCATTTTTCATAACATTTTAGTTCATAGAATTTGTAGGAAACTTGAAAATAAGTTAAGCGATACATCTTGTTTTCTCTCTCTTCATATATAAATCAGCATCTGTCATTATTTTGACAGTAAGCAGTTAAGCTGTCCTCAGTATCACCTCTTACTGATCAATATTATATTTCTTAATTCAGAGAAAAAAATCTATCTTAAAATATCCCTCATCCAGCTCTTTTACAGTAATCTCTTGATGTGAACGTAAATTGTGCCCATGGCGTTTATAAGTCTATTGTTGTGTCCGTGTTTAATGTGAACTCGAGAATAAAAAGTACGTATGTGATGGTCTATAATAGGTTGTCATAAAGCGTAATCTAAAGTTTTGTTGTTTACGTACCAGGGAGCTCCTCTTATTAATCTTAAATTATTAAAGTGTTTTTTTTTCTAACCCGAAAATCTGTGAGTCTTATTTCCATTTGGATATGAGAAGTTATATATTTAGTTTGTCGATTTTCAATTTAGATTTTGAAGACTGTGAGTATAGTATTTTCAGACACTTGTTTAAAATATTTTGTTTTATTCTACATGTTGACTCCCGGTCATCATTCAGACAAATATCAGTTTGAGATAACGTTCAAAGTTCGTCTGAGGAATATGTTTTTCACCGTTTTAACTTTTTATTTGATCAAAAAGTAAATCAATATTTTATTTCTTTCTAAAAATGTGGTACAAAGCAACAATAATGTTCTCACTTTATGGCCCAAATATCCAAATTGACACAAACATTTCAACTGTTAATTTGTATAGTTCAATCCCTGATATTTTAGCTTCTTTTGAAAATGTTTCTAAGTGAAGTTTGAATATAGGTACAACAAAAACTGCGGAAATCTGTGCTATACAACAGTTTTTATATACTATGACCAAAAAAAGGATAAATAAATAAAAAGATAAAATAATTTTCAATAAATATAATTTTCTGTAGGTTTAGGTTGGATATTTTTAAAAAGCCGCAAAAAAGGTTAACAGATATATTTACAGAATTAATATTATTTACAAGCAAAAGAAATAAAATAAAAGGAAAACGAGAGAATTTAAACATAATTACTATCTACAATTAAAGGTAAATTGGAAGATAATAAAAATAACACAAAAGATACTTATTCTATATACAATAGTATGGCATGCCACATGAACACATCAAGAAGTGAAAGTCAAGATATATGATATCAGAGCACATGTACATGATAAAATATGAATTAATTATCTGTCACAGGAAACAAAACAGAGAAGAGTTTTTTTTTTTCAATGTTTCCTTAATCTTGGCTACAATACACACAATCATTGAACGACAAATTCACAATCTGAAAGCGAAGAACTAATGATAGTGATTATAAGGACATTGTCAATGTAAAATATTCTTATTAATCGAAATTATTTATAACATCTTCATAATTTATAAACAGGTTCATAATTTAATATGATTTGTAATATTAAATGTGGCTTACAAAAATATCTTGAGGTTTGACTACACAATCAACTTGTTGAAAGCAGATATATACTGAAAGAGCAGCGTCCTCAATGAAATCAAAAGGTCGTACCTCTTCGCTAAATATATTACGAAATTGGCATCATTCTCGAATCCAATCAGAGGAGAAACATTATAATTCACGATCCAGAGGAACATGGCGCAACGAAGAATTATGGAATCAATCCAAAATACATGTAAATATTTAACTATCTAAGGCTTCCAACATTTCGATCTGTCCTGTGGAAATTCAAAAAAATGTTCTTGCAACTTTCAGAAGAATTAAAAGAATATAAAGTAATACGTATACATTATACGTCTGTATAGATTCATCGAAAGGTTAGAAATCGATAGTTGGATTTGAGGTTATCAAAGAAATTGAAACTTTTCTTTACAAATGGCCTGAAGTCTGTTCAATTATTGCGAAAGATACAACTGACGTAAGGAAAGCGCTTTTGATTTGCAGGTAATGAACAACAGTCATTGAAACTGATTCAATGAGTATCTTACTGGCAATCATAAATCAAAGATCTAAACACGCGATGATACTGGACATTTTAAAACTTATCAGGGACAGTAAAATAGCATGGGTTTTAACAGCTTTAAATAGGACTTTTTCTCATTGTGGCGTGGAGGAAAATGTAAAGGCAGATAAGTGATGTTGAATGGCTCAGATAATTAAATTGATGTATAATTCATATATAATGTTCCTCAAGAGAACTGGATTAGGCAAGCTAAATCTCTTATCGTAGCTCAATGGAACAAAACCTGGGGGCTCATTTCCAATTTCTAAACTAGTCCAGCTAAAACCAGATAGTGCTAAATGGAGTATGAACGACAGGATATCAACAAGAGAGAATCGCTCACAGCAAATTTACTGGACTATTTACTCAACGGTCGAGAATCATCTGAGTCAGGTGTAGTTCGCCAAGAAGAGTGAACCACATTATCGTAGACTTTATAGATTATGCGGTCATAAGGAAGGACTTGGAAATGAACAGAGCTAGAAGAAATATTGCAGGATAATGGATAAGGGGTGGAGGCTCTAATGGATTTCTTGAAACTTAAAGGTTTTCTTGACCCCATAGGATGTGGTGTTCAGAACAGAGGGTAGGCCGATTATTAAATATGGGTCCTCTTTTACAAGGTGAATTTAAGGAAAAGGATGGAGAACTGGGAGTACTGATTATTTTTATTGTAGTTAAGGTGTAAGTCTTAGTCTAGGGATCGTGTGTAAAGAAATGTAAGCGAGGCAAGGATTGTCAATGACCCTATGGGGTGGAGATAAATTGGACAAATAAATAAATGAAATTAATTTATTATTTAAAGTTGTTTATTAATATAAAAAGTCCTAATCAAAATTAA